TATGATCTGACGCTGCTGCTCCAGGACCAGAGTTCATAGTGTTTGATGTCAGAGTAGTTTGCAGGGTTTTCTGAAGCGGGAACATGACCATTTCTCTATATTCTGTGAATCTTGCCTGGACAGTCCCTAAAGAACCAGTGTCAGTGTGTTACAAGGTTGCTTGATATGAATGCATGTTGTTTCCACAGGATAAAAGAGTTATAGAGCTAGTCCAGCCCTCTCACTGTTATTACACTTCAGGGTAATTTAAGCCACAAAAAGACAAGATTCCTTGCATAAAATCAGATGTTAATTTATACAAGTGAATAGTTGATACCAATAAGAGTGGATATAAACTTTCTGAAAGAGCTAAATTTCAGCAAAGTCCATCTTTGGATTATACTGTTAACAAGAAAAGACAGCAATAAAGATGAATGGATTTATGAGTAGATGTTTTCAACCAGCTACTTTAACAGGGTGCACCTCAGAAGGAGTGTTACTGAAGTAAGTTCCTCCCCAGTCCTGCCAAATATATGTGGTAGAAATATATGTGGTATTGGACATAGCATTATAGAGAGCGTACAGGTAGTACTGTAAATAATCAGTTTATCTATGGGGCATAAAACTGTGATTTTAAGTGATGAAGACAGATACACAGTAGGTGCAGTAGCACACACCTTTATCCCAGCACTTGGGAGGCAGAAGCAGGTGGATCTGTGTGAGTTTGAGGCCAGCCTGGTCTACATTGCTAGTTGTAGAACAGCCAGAGCTACATAGTAAGAGTCTGTCTGGGGGTAAAATTTTTGATAATGCTTTTATTTTTTTCTCAGTACCAGTAATTAAACCTGGATTCCCACATATGCTAGGCAAGTGCTCTAGGACTGAGCTACACCCCTACCCCTTTTTAATTTTTAAAACTATTTGTTTTTATTTTTGACACAAGGTCTTGATAAGTTACCCAGGCTGGCCTTGAATCCACTCTCTAGCCCAGAGAGACCTTGAATTTATGACCTACCATTTTAGCCTCCAGAGAATCTGGGCTTACAGGCCTGCACTGCCTGCTCACCAAAATAAAACTTTAATCGTCCAAATAATTAGGAAATCTTGAGGAGTAACTATTGTCAAACACAAATTAGTTTAACTTTCCTGGGAATTAGGCTTACGCTAACATACTACGTAGTAATATAACATTAAATATCTCTTGTATTCCTATAGTTATCCATAACCATTTCAAGGTCTTGTTGAATAGATAAAAATTGTTATTCTCTAAGGGTCACGTAAGTTCCAGGTCAAGAGTTTTGTCTTTCAGAAAGAGTTGAACTCTCAAGACTAGTCTTCCAAGAGCTTATAGACATCCACCTGCCCTTGAATCAGAAGGAGTAGTACAGAGTTTCTCTGTGTTGCCCTGGCTGTCATGGAACTAGCTCTGTAGACCAGGCTGGACTTGACCTCAGAGATCTGCCTGCTTCTGCCTCCCAAGTGCTGGCATTAAAGGTATACATCACTGTGCCCAGTTCAACTTTTTTTTTTCCAGACAGGGTCTCACTATATAGCCTTGACTAGCCTAAAATTTATTATATATGGCCTCAGACTCACAGAGATTTGCCTGCTTGTGCCTCCTTAGTACTAAAATTAAAGATGTGTACCACACCACACCTAGTCTGTATTTGTTACTGTTTTCATACCCCACTAAGAACATCTGTGGCACCCATATGTGTAGGATGTGGGAGCATCCATTGGAACATAGGAATGCTACTAGAGGCCACATCTTCAAAAAAGAACACAGTTATCAACTGCCACTAGCACCTCAGTAAGGGGCGGGGAGATCACCTACCCATCTACACCAGAATTTTGGCTGATTGATCTTGTCAGGTCTTGTGCAGGTGATCTGAGTAGTTGTGAGGTCATGTGGGACAGCTAGGTCATGTTCAGAAGACAGCATTCACAGAGTCCTCCTGCCCTCTGCACCTCCTCTTCCCAGGTGTCCACTGAGCCTTGGGCACCGTTAATTTATTTTTATATCAAGTGTCAGGTTTCTTTGTGGCCTTGGTTTACCCTCTCGCACTCCTTCCTGTCTCTCAGCTCCCTGTCCTTCCCCACTTAAACCTTTCTCCCTCCAGTCTTTCCCCTCCTGTTCATGTCACAAGCACCCTACTGCCCTGCCCAGCTTAAAGACTGCGCCCCCTTTAATGGACCTCATTCTAGTTTCCTGAACTCTACGTGTAGTCACTCCCACATACATAGAAATTAATAGCTCAGGTCTACATTTGAGGGAGAACATGTTTGTCTTTCAGAGCCCAGTTACTTCTCTTATTATAATATTTTCTGGTTTCACCCATTTTCTTGTACATTTAATGACCTCATTTTTCTTTATGGCTGAATGAAATTCCATTGTGTATATGTACAACATTTTCATTTTCCATTTATGAGTTGATGAACGTCTAAACTGTCCCATTTTCATGCCATTGTGAATAGAGCATCAATGAACATAGATGTGCTGGGGTCTCTGCCCTTGACAAGTTGATCTACAGTGAATAAGGAGATTCATCTGGGACTGGAGGGATGACGGCAGAGCAGTCAGGAGCACCAACTGCTCTGCCGGGGACTCAGGTTCAAGTCCCAGAGCCTACATGGCAGCTCACAGCCATCTGGAACTCCAGTTCCAGGAGATTCCCATGCCCTCTTCTGGCCTCTGTGGGCACCAGGCACACACACAGACCCACATGGTACACAGATACATGCAGAACATCCCTATACATAAAAGAGAGAGAGAAGATCGCCTTAAAACATTTGTCAGCCTGGAAGTAATGGGAGCATAGGCCAGTTTCAACTGTTGCGTATAGTTTTTCTCTAAAATATCACCTGAGCCAAGGGGTGCACAGTTGTGCATCCATTGTCTTGGCTTCTCAGGAAGCAGAGGCATAACGATTGTGAATTCAAGGCTAGCCTGGGCTATATAATGAGACGCTATCTCTAAAAATTACTTAACCAGGTAATTACAATATTAGCTAAGAGAACACTACAGAAAATCAGGATTTTCATGGTTAGGGCCATAAGTCTGTTAATCTCTAAAGTTAATGTAAATTAGATTAAGGTTTGGTCATTTTTGCTTCATTGACTTAAATATAAAGGCAAATATAAATGAAAACATTGTATGGCTAAATAGCCTGTTTTGTGTTGTTTATTTTAATTAGTGTAGTTTTAGCAGGACTTTGGTCTTCCTGAGCAGCACTAACATGTTTCATAGATCTCTGGGCAGCTTTTCCTCTATTTTCACAAATTTGATTCGTGCTGATACTTGGGAGTGTATACACACACCCAGTGCAGACTCGGAGCTTTCATGGCAAATACAAGTGCAAATCCTTCTTTTATGGATTATGGAATGTTGGACCATAACACTGTTATGTCCCTGCTCTATTACCTAAAGAGAAGAGGAAACCAGCTGGCACCAGTTAAGAGCATTTGCTGCTCTCAGAAGACCTGTACTCTGTTGCCAGCATACACATGGTGGCTCACGGTAACTACAGTTCTTGGTGACCTGACACTCTCCTGGCCTCCACAGGCATGGCGTGCATGCCGAGTATACACATGCAGACAGAACACTCACTCACATAAAACTAATTAGATCTAAAGAGGAGAAACGCCTCAGCAACAGTAGCAGATAGTGCGTGCAGAGATGACGTTGTTATGCTGGAGGATCAGCGTCATCTCTACCCGTCCGTTCACTTAGAAGTAGACTGTGGTACAGCAGGAACATGGGGTTGGATTGAATAAAGGCATTCTGGACTCTGGTTCTGTCATTGGCCACTATGCTATAGACCAGATACATAACTCATTACAAGAAGCTGTTAAGACCACAACTGGATCTAGTTGGTGGTACATGACTATAATCCCAGCACTCTGGAGGCTCAAGCTAAGGATTGCTATTACTTCTAGTGAAACCTTGTCCCAGGGAGAGAAAAAAAAAAGGATTCCATGTAAGAGGTACACAGTACCTGGATCTTCTGTGTTCTGTCAAATAGAATATGGTTCTGGGCCCCTATTCTCAAATAGTACTGATAGCCAGATACTGTGTGCTGAGTGTTGAAAACTTAGGAGTTAAATTTCTTGTACCACATTATACCAATAACTTATCATGAACTAATAGTGATTGCCTTTGTTAGGGTTACATTGCTGTCATGAAACACACTGGCCAAAAGCATCTTGGGGAAGAAAGGGATTATTTGACTTACATATCCTGATTCAGAGTCCATTGAGGGAAGCCAAGGCAGGAATTCAAACCAGCCGGGCAGGAGCAGATGCAGAGGCCTTAGAGGAATGTTTGTTACTTGCTTGCTCCTCATGAGTTGCTCAGCCTGCTTCCTTACAGCTCCCAGTATCACCAGTCCATGTGGTAACCACCCACAGTGGGCTGGGCCCTCCTCAGTGAGTCACTAAGAAAATACTCTCCTGGGTTGCCTACAGCCCAATCCAATAGAGGCAGTTTCTCAATAGTGATTCCCTCCTCTGAGCCAACTCCAGATTTATCAAATAGACATAAAATCCAGCAAGCATAGAGCTTGTTGGTATTGATACCAATAAAGTATATAGGACACTTGCAGTAGCTTGTATAAGCACGGCATCCTTACCCCCATGGTAGCTGTCTCTCAAGCACTCCATATACTGTCAAACAGAGGAGTGAGAGTGGCTGCTGAGCCTGGCCCAGTGTAGCACAGCAGGAAGCTGGGCCAGGGGTCCGGATAAGGTAGAGCATCAAAGGCACATTGAAGGCTTACAATGGGTTGATAAAATAATTCAATTTTGCTCTTAAAAAGATTAATCATGGAAACTAACATCTTTTTCTACAGCAACTACATGGCCAGGAATAATAAACCAAAAATACTTGGCGACCTCCTTGGCTCGTGGCAAGTCACCAGCAGTCTGCTCACCTGGCTTCAGGCCGTCAGTGCAGGCAGTATGGTGAACTTAGTCTGTTTTACTGTGTGCTCTCCTACTAAGGAAGCTCTTTCTCTTCCCCGCAGATCCTAATTATCTCATGGCTAACGAGCGCATGAACCTGATGAACATGGCAAAGCTGAGCATCAAGGGCTTGATTGAGTCCGCTCTGAACCTGGGCCGGACCCTGGACTCTGACTACGCACCTCTCCAGCAGTTCTTCGTGGTGATGGAACACTGCCTGAAACACGGCTTGAAAGGTGGGCTGTGTGGCCTCGCTGCAAATGTGCAGCCAGGCCGAAGCAGTGCCGAGCAGGAAAGAAAGTCATTTCCATGGAGGCAGAGTAAAAACCTTGAATGAATAGTGTTAATGGGCTTCGCATGGTGGCTCACACCTTTAATCCCCGCACTCAGGGAGCAGGGGCAGGCGGGTTTCTGTGGGTTCAGGACTAGCACGTATAAAGAGCAAGTTTCATGCCAGCCAGGGCTACACAGTAAGAGACCCTGTCTTAAAAACAAAACAGAAACATTTAGCGGAATGTAACCTGTATAGGCGCAGAATTTTAACTGACTTAAAGGACTTATAGTACATAAAAGTACAGCTGTCATTTGATGTTAGAATTGGAAGGACCTTCATCATTAAGCAAATCATCTGTTGGACAGGAAAATAGGCCTGCCTAAAATGCAGTAGTTACCTACCCAGGGCACAGGCTAGGGCAGGGCAGGGCAGGTGCTGTCTTGGAGTCCTGGCTCTTCCCATGTACCCAGTTCCAGAGCAGGCCTCGGTCTCAGGTGCCTGTTTCTTTCCTTCCTCCCTTTGCAGTACTCAGCTTGTCGTTGGGTTATTTTCTTCACTAATACTACATGGTTCTAAGTACTAACTCATTAAACATTATATAGGGCTAGATCAAAAATTCTTTTTAAATTTAATTTTATTTTTATGTATGTGGATTTTCTGCCTGCATGTGTGCCTGTGCACCTTGTTTGTGCCTGGTGCCCATGGAGGCCAGAAAAGGACATCGGGTTCCCTTAAACTATGGTTACAGGCTTCCATATGGGTGCTGGGAATTGAACCTGGGTCTTCTGGAATACTTTTAACTGCTGAGCCATCTCTAGCCCTGATCACAAACTCCTCTTTAAAAAGGAATAACTGAGTCTTAGAAGTACAGAATTTTTTTGTAAATATTTTATATATTAAGAAACCATAATTTTTTGCCAGGCAGTTGTAGTGCACACCTTTAATCCCAGCACTTGGGAGGCAGAGGCAGGCGGATTTCTGAGTTCGAGGCCAGCCTGGTCTACAGAGTGAGTTCCAGGACAGCCTGGGCTATACAGAGAAACTCTGTCTCGAAAAACAAAAAACCCCCCATAATTTTTACATGTGTTTATGAGATGTGGTATCTGCATATGTATATGTTTGGGTACATACATGTATGGAGGAGTGTGAAGGCCAGAGATCGATGTTGAATATCCTTTCTTTCTCTAAGTTACTAGCAAAGGGTCTTTGGCTGAACCTGGAGCTCACAGACTCAGCCAACTTGCCCAAGGATTCCCTGTCTTAGTTCTCCTTGTACTGGGATCATGTGGCAGCCACCACACCCTCCTGGCTTTTATGTGGTTTAAGGGTTCTAAACTGTGGCCCCACTTGTGTGGCAAACACTGTTTCACTGAGCCATCTCCAGCATGCATGAACAGTGTTTAAACTAGTAGCCTAGGATTGGATACCTAGAAAGGATATTGAAGAGAGAGGGATGGATTGGGGGGGGGGGCGAGAGAGAGAGACTGTGAATTTGTATATAAGCACAGATATACAAATATACAAGCACTTTTATGTATAGCAGGGTATTTATGTTGTGAAGAAAATTAAAATACTATTTTGTTTTGTTGCTTTAGCCAAGAAAACTTTTCTTGGACAAAATAAATCCTTCTGGGGGCCTCTAGAGCTGGTTGAAAAGCTTGTTCCAGAAGCTGCAGAGATAACAGCAAGTGTAAAAGATCTCCCAGGACTCAAGTAAGTCTCAGGTTAAATTCTCGTTCTCTCCTTGGAGAATGATGCTCAGGATACTGTGCTCATTTTTGTAGCAATCCAGATTTGTAATGCTGTTACATGTAAACACCAAGGGACCAGCCTGTATTCTCTTAAGAAATGTGTGCATTTGAAGGAGACTTACAGAGAGTTTGTCTTCGTATTAAAAATACCAGACATCTCCTTCTTATTTATCAACAAGCCTTAAGAAATTTGACCTAGGGAGATGTTATGCCTGGATTGATTTGGGGAAAACAGCTGCATTCCATGGGATTTTAGAGCCAAGATTAAGTGAGCCCCAGAAACATAAGGCCTCCCTTCAAACTTGAGGGAGAAAAAAAAGAGATTAGCTTCCACAGGAAGCTGGTGTAATGTTAACTGAATGGAGGCTTGCACTGCTGGTGTTCTTAAGAATATCTTATATAATCCAATCCAAACTTTGGCTACATCAAATACTAAACTGGTGGGACATTTCCAGGTGGGCTAAAGTTTAGCGTCTGCTCTTCATGCCATGGCACACTTACTTACTAATGCAAATGCTAGAGTATTTGTCCCAGATATCCTAGTCTGACTGTCCCACCCAGTCACTTGTGCAAGAGTAGGTGGGGATTTCAAGTAGGGCCTTTGTTTATACTGTAAGCCCATTGGCAGGAGCATGAGTCTGTCCCAGGCTTCTACAACCCTGCCACCTTTACTTGTGCTCTGAGCCGTTTGACTTCTTTGTTCTTGCAGGACACCGGTTGGCAGAGGAAGAGCCTGGCTTCGGTTGGCATTAATGCAAAAGAAGCTTTCTGAATATATGAAAGCCTTGATCAATAAGAAGGAACTTCTCAGGTATGAACACTAGTTGAACTTTCTTCCTGATATGTTCTACTGATATCATACAAAGTCAAACCATAGATTCTATCCATTTGTGTAGGTCAGAAACACTCAATGTGTGACAGTTTCATCAGTTCTCTAAACCATACCTCACACACTCACTCCTAGGCCCAAGAAAAGTTGGGTGTTTTATATAATTATGTTATCTGTGGCTGTGACTACATAACAGTCCTGTGTAGGTCAGGTCAAAACTTAGCACTTCCAGGAAAAACAGGAAGGCTTACAGCACCATGGCCTGTACACAGACCCAACAGGACAAGAAGTTAACATTGATTATATAGCATTAAGAAAATCATGTGGATGATGAGTTCTCTAGGGTACATAGCAAAGCCCTGTCCATATGTCATATTACAACCACACATTAACATAATATGCATACATGCATATGTATGTAACATACATAAAACTATAAAATTAAGAATTAAACTCAAGGGATTGAGGGGTGGCTCAGCAATTAAGAGTACTGACTGCTCTTCCAGTGGTCCTGAGTTCAATTCTCAACAACCACATGGTGGCTCACAACTATCTATAATGGGATCCGATGCCCTCTTCTGGCATTTCTGAAAACAGATACAGTGTACTCATATAAATAAATAAATCTTAAAAAAAATAAAATAAAATAAAACACAACCCATAAAGTGAAGATGTTTGGTTTTGGTTGGTTTTGGTTTTTGATTTTTTTGAAACAGAATTTTTCTGTGGCTGTCCTAGAACCTACTCTGAAGATCAGACTGGCCTCAAACTTGGAGAGCCATCTGCCTCTACCTCCCAGGTACTGGGATTAAAGGCATGTACCACTATGCCTGCCAGTAGGAGTCTTATATGTATTCTCTGATGAGCAGGTATATAAGGTATTTGTATAGTAATGATTATTACAAACATCTCTTTTGCCAGGCAGTAACACATGCCTTTAATCCTAGTACTTCATAGGTAGAAAAAAGAGGCTGTCTGTGAGTTCAAGGCCTGCCTGATCCACATAGCATGCTCCAAGACAGCCAGGACTAGGTAGAGAGACTTTCTCAAAGTAGTAGTAGTAGTGGTAGCAGTAGTAGTAATTCTTCTAAAGTAAAAAAAAAAAAATACAAACCTATGAGAATAGATAAAAATATTAAGATGCAAAAGAAAAGATTTAACTACCTAGTAAACATAGAAGATGCTGTATGACTTGGCCAGCTGCTGTAAAAGCACATATTAAAGCAAGCTGTGAGGATCAGCACGATGACGCAGTGGGCAGCCTTACATAAGTCTGATACCCAGAGTTCAAGCCCCAGAACCCACATCTACCAAGGGAGATGATCAGCACCTACAGAATGTCTTCTGGCATTCATACACATGCTGGGCCACACATCCATACACAAGCGCATAGATAGATAGATAGATAGATAGATAGATAGATAGATAGATAGATAGATGATACATAGATGATAGATAGATAGATAGATAGATAGATAGATAGATAGATAGGATAGATGTAATAAAACAAGGTGATGCTGCTGTTTACTAACCAAAATGAAAGGGCAGATGGCACCAGGATGGCACTCACCTCTAATTCTAACACTGGGGAGGCAGATGCAGGATTGCTGCAGGTCCCAGGACAATCGGGCTGGCATAGTGGGGCTCTGCCTCAAACAACAAGTGACATCAGTGTTGGTGAGGATGCGAAGTGACTTTGCTGATGGGAATGTTAGTTGGCACAGAAAACGTAACGAACTATACAGTATTATCGGTGAAAGGTGAAAGGTGAGCGTAAACCCTTCTCATGCATCTTGATGCAGTGACCTAGTTACCATGTTCAATAGAAATGCTTTCTGTCCAGTGGACGTGCACAAACAAAATGTTGAGAGGTGTGTTTGTAATAGCTGCAACCATGTCTTTAACACAGTTAATCACAGTATATCTTACAGTGCAGTGACCCTAGTTAGCTCACATAGATACGTTATGTAAGAACAAAAACCATGAACAAAAATGTTCATAGAGGATGGCAAGATGGCTCAGTGGGAAAGCAAAGGCTTTCGACACCAAGCTTGAACACCTGAATTCCATCCCTGGCACGCGTGTGGTGGGAAAAAAGAACTGAGTTCTGCACATTGTCCTCTCACTTCCAGACCTGTGCATACTCACAAACAGATGAATATACTATTTAGAGTTTTTAAATAGTTTTCATAGTCATCACAATATTTGTAATAAACCCTGTGTCTATTTACAGTAGAACAGATAAGTAAATTGTTCTATGTATATATGTTGTAACAGGTAGCAGCTATATATAGCAACATGGATTAATCCTGTTGAGTATAATGTTAGACAAACTAATCAGTCATTAAAATACCTGTGTTGTTGCGTTTACATAAAGCTCAGAAACATGCACAAAACTTCTCCTTCCTGCCTGATAGAAAGAGACTATTCTAGTAAGTAGGGTAGTAAGACCCAAGTAGGAAGGCCTGAAGTAGCTTCTGAGTTTCTGATGTAAATTGCTTAACCCGGGTGCCAGCTTATTGAGTGTGTTCTCTTTATGAAAATACACCTAGGGGCATAAGAGCAAGAGAAGCAAGAATCTAAAGCCTAAAGCCACCTTCAGCTGGCTAGCTAGTTCAAGGCCAGGCTGGATTGCATGAGACTTTGTCTCAAAACAAGTGTGTGTGTGTGTGTGTGTGTGTGTGTGTGTGTGTGTGTGTCTGTCTGTCTGTCTGTCTGTCTGTCTGTCTGTGTCTGTCTGTGTGTCTGTGTGTGTGTGTTTCGTTGTCTGTGTGTTCAGTCTGACCTGGAACTCACCATGTAGACTGACCTTGAAGTTGTAATTTTCCTGTTGGTACCCAAGTCCTAAGATTATGACTGGGAGATGACCAAACTTGGAAACCTCTTTGGTTTTGTTTTTTGGGGTTTTGTTTTGTTTGTTTGTTTGTTTGTTTGTTTGTATCTTGAGACAGGGTCTTACTGTGTAGCCCTGTTAGCCTGGAACTTACTATTATTATAGACCAGGCTGACCTCTGAAAGCATTTCAGCAGACTGTTTTTAGAGAAGTTATACATTTATAGCAACAGAATACAAGGTACCAAGAACAATTTCTTATATCCTCTACCCCAAATGTGTGTGCACTCTCACACACACACACACACACACACACACACCCAGAGGCACAAGCTTATAGTTTACATTAGAGCTCACTTTTCTGCTATACATTCTGTGAGTTCTGAAAATGTGTCCCTGCTCTGATATTCTTGGGTCCACCTATTTATGCCTCTCTCCTTCAGCTCTAGATAACTAGTTCATGTCTCCTTGGCTTTGCCTTTTCCAGAATATTAGGTAGTTTGAATCGTAAATGTATAGCGTTTTCACTTAGTCATATACACTTAAGGTTCTTCAAGGATTTTTCATGGCTTAATAATCCATTTTAGTGGCAAAAAATATTCTATTCTTTATAAGTTTGTATATGCATCTTAGTTGCTTCCAGTTTTTTTTTTTTTAAATAAGGCTGCCATCAGCACCCTGTGCAGGTTTTCGTGTGGATGTAAGCTTCTTTGAGTGGATGCTAAGAAATGTAATTATTAGATTATACAGTGACAGTTTGGACAGTATAGATAGATTTGACCAAATGTAATTATTAGATTATACAGTGACTGTTTGGATAGTATAGGTGGATTTGACTGTCTGTGGGTTTTGAAGACTTTCTACCCATTCATAGTCTTTTAGATACTCGATGGTTTTGCTTTGCTCTTTTGTTCCTGGGATCTCTGGTGGTAAAAGCCCCAGGCAGCCTGTTCCAGAGAGGGGCTGGTGAAGGAACGGGAGTTTTTGCTAAATAAATATATAATACAGTGGGATACTATAAAACTAATGTAAATAAAATTATAGGAAATTATATGTTGAAATAGATATTTTTAAGTCAGAAACTGTTTTCAAGTGAATTATAATAGTATAATTGCTCTTTTGATAGTTATAATGACATCATGCATATATGATTTGATGACACATATTACAAAGACATGTATGTTTCATAAGTTACCAAATACCTTAAGTCACTGGTAGATGGAATTGAAAAGTTTCATATGTATTTCTTTTATTTTCTTTTTTACGATAACCAATTTTACCTAAGTACTGAAGGAAATGATTCTTAAAATTCTGAGATTATCTTCAGGCTGTTTATTGTACATGTTATTTGATAGGCAGATGTAGGGCTGGATGTGGCTTGGGGGTAGAGGACTTGCCTAGCATTCATAAAGACCTGGGTTTAATCTCTAGCAGAGCCTCATTTTCTAGCGCTCTCTCTCTCTCTCTCTCTCTCTCTCTCTCTCTCTCTCTCTCTCTCTCTCTCTCTCTCTCTGTGGGTGTGTTTGTATATATAAAAGACATATATAATAATTTGTATTTAAGGTATTTATTAAAGAAATGTGCTTAAGGCTGGGCAATGGTGGCGCAGGCCTTTAATCCCAGCACTTGGGAGGCAGAGGCAGGCGGATTTCTGAGTTCGAGGCCAGCCTGGTCTACAGAGTGAGTTCCAGGACAGCCTAGGCTATAAAGAGAAACCTTGTCTTGAAAAACCAAAAATAATAATAATAATAATAAATAAAAATAAAAACCAACCAAGCAAACAAAAGACTATAATATTAAAAAAAAAAAAAGAAAAGAAATGTGCTTAAAAATATAGTCAAAGAAAAATTGGAGGGGGGGGCTGGAGAGATGACTCAGCAGTTAAGAGCACTGACGCTTCTTCCAGAGGTTCTGAGTTCAATTCCCAGCAACCACATGGTGGCTCACAACCATCTGCAATGGGGTCCAGTGCCCTATTCTGGTGTGTCTGAAGAGAGAAAAAGTGTACTAGTATATATAAAATAAATAATTCTTTAAAGGAAAGAAAAGAAAAATTTTTACAGAAAAGAATTTTAAAAGGGCACAACGTTGTCCCATGGCACATCATGAACATAGACAAGTCAGCAGACTCTGTATACTCCCCTCAGCGACAGTGGCTCCCAGTACCTGCAGGATCCACTCATGTGCCTGTTAGAGACATCGTCTACTTATATAACAGTATTCTCAGACATGCCCATGCTGGACGATGTGATTGGAGGTTTTCCCTTTGCCTCATGTCCCATTCGAGGGTTGAGGTCTCAGTATAACAGTGCTCTGTGGGTTTCTATTGCAGTGAGTTCTATGAAGCCAATGCCCTCATGATGGAAGAGGAAGGAGCTATTATCGCTGGTCTCCTGGTGGGTCTGAATGTCATCGATGCCAATTTCTGCATGAAAGGAGAAGACCTGGACTCTCAGGTATGGGAAAACTCTCACAGAACCAAGGGAGTCACTCTGGGTTCTGGGTCCTTTGCCTTGAGTGCTTAGCTCACACTAGCCAAGTTAGAAGACATTGTGTGAGCATCATAAATAGGATTTCCTTTCATTTTGATGTTACAGAATTAATATGCATGCCTTCCTACTTTACACACCTAAGATTAATAAAGGAGAGGTCTAATATTGTATGGCTGATTCTGGCTAAGCACAAAAGGGAACAGCCTTGAAGATAAAATGTTACATGATTGTGTGTGTGTGTGTGTGTGTGTGTGTGTGTGTGTGCACGCCCAAGGCTTGTACAGTTTACATATGCTGTCATCCTTAATTCTCCTTCAGACCTTGGTCCCAGGTTACACTTTGAACAATTTAAACAGAGCTCAGAGGCTGTAAGTCCAGCTATTGGGCAGATCTGAGGTTTACATAGCATAGCCATTGCCTGAATTATTTAATTAACTACACCAGTGTTGTTATTTTCAAAATAACATCTTGCCCACCCATCTGACAATTGATTGTCAGAATTAAGCTTTACCTGATAAGTACACAGGGGACTTGACCTTCTGCTGTTCCCTGGAGCCTCATAGAGGCTGTCCTTTGATAGGGAACGGGCAGGCGACAGAGTCGGGGTAAGCTCCAGCTTCACTTGTTGTGGGACCCATGTGAAGACCAAGCTGCACGTCTCCTACAGATGTGTATTCTCTTTGGTTGGTGGTTCAGTCTCTGGGAGCCTCCAAGAGCTGGTTGACCTTGCTGGTGTTCTTGCAGAGTCCCCATTCCCTCCAGGTTCCTCAGTCTTTCCCCCAACTCCTGCATGACTTCACATAACTTCAATTATAGAACAGAGTTTTCTTTCTCTCAGTGTCTAACAAGCTAGTTGTATTGGAGGCAATGCCTCTTTAGATAAGTTCTTTCTATTATTTAATATTTCCTAAGCAAGTTTATTAATAAATCCTCCATAGGATTGGTTTTACTTTTTCAAGTTCCTCCTGTAGCTCAGTGTGAATATAAAAAGGCTGTATTTTTGTCTTTTTCCAAATTCTTATCTTGGCTATACTTCCTTTAATATAAGGCTATATATTAACAGCCAGGGTACTATAGTAGTTCACAGTGAAGGCCCTGTGAACCCAGCTACTTAGTCTCAAAGTCTGTCTTTCTTATTTTCTAACTGGATGTATCTTGTACTTAGGTGGAGGTTTTTTGTTTGTTTGTGTATTTATGTTTTGGGGGGATTTTTTGGTGGCTTGGGGGGAGTTGTTTGTTTTATCTTTGTTTTTTGGGTGCTTTCCGTTTCTTGATATGTATAGATAAAAAGAGTAGTTAACCGGGCTGTTGTGAGCAATAAAGGAGTTTATAAAGTCAGTTTACTTTGATCAGAGCCACACTTGAGTTAATTGCCCAATAATATAAAGATGATTTCCCTGAGTCTGCTTCTCACTGCTTATGTAAAAAATCATGTGGTGGATGCCTTCCATTTACTCAGGGAAAATTAGAAAGGCGATATTGTTCAACTTGGATTTTTTTTTTTTGAGAAATAAAATATATAATAAAGTGGCCTATTTGAAAAACTGAAGATTTCCTTCAGTAAAAGTTGAAACAGACACCGGAATGTCTGCAGTGGTCATTTTTGGGGTGATGCTAAGAATGTGGGTATTTTAAATTGCTTGTGTTTTTCTGATTCGGTAAAACACACAAGGGAATGGGTGTTGTTTTGGATTATAATATAACTTTCTATTATATTTTTGAGTTTAAAGTATAATTACATCATTTCTTTTTCGCTTTCCTCCCCCAGACCCTCTAGTAATCCCATCTTTGATGATTGCTTTCAAATTCCATACCTCCCCTTTCTAAATTGTTGTTACATTATATGTGTGTGTATGTGTGTGTGTGTGTGTGTGTGTGCCTCTAAATTAGTCTGTTCCGTGTTATTTGTATGTTTTCAGGGCCGAGCTTTAGGTTTGGATGATGGCCAGTGTACTCTTCTCTGGAGATTTATTTCTCCCTCTCAGAGTTCCTTTAGATGCCTGTAGTTCTTTGTGTGTAGGTGGGGCCTGTTGGGCTTTCTCCACTGGGCTGTCCACTTTGACCTGTCTTTTGTGGCTGTCCTTATTCAGCTCGGGTTTAGGCAGTTGTGTAGGTGAGACTTTATGGGTGTATCTTCAGACTAAACATTTTTAAACTATAAAACTAAACAGGGGACCACAACGGGGACAAGACATGCTGACAGAGATGAGGGAGGAGCAGAGATGACATGTGACAGGAAAGTGCAGAGAAGCTCTGGGGGTGAAAAGGGAGAGTCAGGGGACCAGGAAGAACAAGGCACTGAAGATATGTAGTGACACCCAGTGCTTTGCAAGCTGGGAGAAATTTTTTTTTGGTTTTTCGAGACAGGGTTTCTCGAGACAGGGTTTCTCTGTATAGCCTGGCTGTCCTGTCCTCTGTAGACCAGGCTGACCTTGAACTCAGAAATCCGCCTGCCTCTGCCTCCCAAGTGCTGGGATTAAAGGCGTGCGCCACCACTGCTCGGCAATTTTTTTTTTTTAAAGTAACTTCTGTAACTAAATTTTAAAAAGTTTTTCCTAGAAGAAAATAAAAAGTTTGTAGCAGAATTTCTGTAAAAGAAATTTTAAACCTTATTCTTTATGCAAAGGATTCTGTTGACTATTGTGAATTGTCTTCTCCTTTCTTTTTGTTCCTTTTGGTGGTGGTGGTGGTGGTGGTGGTGGTAGCCGTGATGGTGGTGAGTGCTCTGCTGCTCTGCTGTTGAGCCACACCCTCAGTCGTTTACCTTGACACTTCTCATTTCTCCCTTACCGTTATATTCTTAATAAAGTGTTAAATGTTCATCATAAACTTCTGGTGACTGTCATGGTTATTATTCTTTGAGTACCTAGAAAGCAGCAAGACCAAATTTTCTATTAACTTCTGAAAATTCTCTCTTTAGGTTGGAGTTATAGATTTTTCCATGTATCTCAAAGACGGAAACAGCAGTAAAGGCAGTGAAGGGTACGTATGAAACATCAAGTTTCTCTATCTCTGATGTAATATAGATTTCCAACAACAATATTGCCTTAGCAGATTTGGCAGAAGAATGTTTGATTATATAGTTTTAATAAAGTTGTGACAAAAATATCTGATTTGGGCCTATGATTAGAAGGATTTCTAGGTGAATGTTTTTTTGCTAGCTATTTTGGGGGCAGCGATGATAAAGATGTATAAAATCAATCCAATTCTCCATATTGCTTTGTTTTTGTTTTTCTATCTGAGACTATAGTCTCATATCATAGTCCAGATTATTCTAGGACTCACTATATAAATGAAGCTGGTCTTGAACCCAAGGCTTTCCTGCTGCCTTTATTCCTAAGTGGTAGGATCAAAAGGTGTGAAATCACCATGTCCAGCCAATTCTCTATAGCTTGAAGTAGGTCTTGAAAATGTAGACAAACTTGGCATTGCTGTGCCATACTCACCCTGGCAGGCTGAACCTGGAAGATCAGAAACTCCCAACAAGAAACAAGCCAGGCATGGTTGTGCACGCCTTTAATCGCACCACTCAAGGGGCAGAGACAGGCAGATCTCTTGAGTTTCTGTCCAGCCAGGGCTGCGTACTGAGACTCTGTCATAAAAACTCAAACTAACTGGGGCTGGAGAGATGGCTCAGTGGGCAAGAGAACTGGCTGCTCTTCCAGAGTTCCTTGGTTCCATTCCTAGCATCCACATGGTGGCTCACAACCACCTGCAACTCCAGTTCCAGGAGACCTGAGGACACTGCATGTACATGGTGCTTAAAATATCTTACCATATAGAAGCCTTGTTTAGTGTAAGTTTTTTTCCCACTTTGAGCCACAAAATCTTCCTTGTTGATATTTCAGAATCATGATGTATCAAGTGTGACTTCTGGTTCAGTGTCAGTGCCCCATAGTCTCATGCTTTATGGAATGCTGGGTGAGGGATGCTGTCTTGGTATTCCTGACTCTCATCTTACCTGTTTCCTCCATCATTGTTCCCTCCAGGGATGGACAGATTACTGCGATTCTAGACCAGAAGAACTATGTAGAAGAACTCAACAGACATCTGAAGTAAAGAATGAGTACAGTTCTCTTATGGGGGTTTATTGACAGAGAAAGGGCACATAAAACAATGAGCATTAAGGACCGGTTCAGCCGGTATTCACCAAATACATAGAAAATTCCTGTTTACCAATCATAGAGCTAAGCAGTGAAAGGCAATAAAAGGGGATCATGAGATTGTAACTAGAGATGAAATAAGATAGTCAGTTAAGAATTATAGAACATACGATATGTATGCTTCATATTAGCCATGGATCAAGCCACCTTCTGCATTACTGCTGTTGGGTAAACCATCCACTATTTTAATACTTTAACCATGTTTTGTTCCCTTGTGTCTCTCACTTATACACTTATTGATATATTACCTTTTACTACCACTGATTTCCCAAGTACTCACCAGGTATTTCAAACTTGCCAGAATTACTTTGATACTCTTGTGTTAGAATTGGCTTAATAATTTTAGAGGAATTAACATTAACATAGCAATTGATAATTATCTTGTAATAGAACTTTTGTAAGTTCTGTTATAAAAGCCATTCCCCACCACTACCACCCCTCTCTCTCTCTTGAGACAGGGTTTTACTATGTGGCCTTGGCTGGCCTGGAACTTGCTATGTAAGACAGGCAGCTGGCTTTGAACTCAGGGATCCACTTGTCTCTACCTGTAAGTGCTGGGATTAAGGGTGTGTGCCAGCACGGTCAGCATAAAAGCTACTCTTAATTGACTTATAATGCAGTTACAAGTTTCTGTATGCACAGAGACAGAGTACAATATGCTTTGTAGGTCTTTGGTCACATTGATAACATTAAAATGGACTGGGGACTGGAGAGATGGCTCAGCAGTTCTGAGCTCTGACTGCCCTTCCAGAGGACCCAGGTTCAATTCCCCATACCCAAATTAGGACTCTCAACCATCTGTAGCACATACATGGCACACAGTATACATACAACAGAATACCCATACATATTACGGAAAAAACAAAACTCAGAAGGGATCTCAGGCACAGTTTATTGGAACTCAAGGGAAAACACCAGGCAAGCAAGCCCCAGATGATGGCAGCTGCTAAGGAGCTGAGAAAGGGAAAGTTCCATCTGGACTAGTACACAAGTAAAAGCATACATCCCAGTGGGAGAGGAAAAGACCTGGCTCCCAAGACAGTTCCTGGTCATTTTATTGAAGGCTGCAATATTTCCCTCCTTTAAGTAAAAGCAGTCAGTGCTTTGCCCTGTAGAGCAGGGAGCCAGGGAAGACGTATTTACTGCAATTGTGGTGTTTAGCCTCGTGGTCTACTCTGGATAGCTGCTCTGAATAGCCTGTCCTTGAGGTTGTGTCAGATGGAAGGGTAGTAATGAAGGCATGGCCAGCAGCAGCTGTTATGGTCCGATTACCTTTGACTTCTGACTTGGGGCTAGTTTAAAGCCAAACCCATGCCCTTGGTTTCTTTGTAACATACAACTTTGTTACATACAACTTCTAGATCTGTCTCGAATGCTTGGAGGGCCAGTGCTGGTTTATTTTTAATCTAGCCAGGAAGGCCAGCACTTGAGAATGAGTTATGAGCAGTTTGGGGATTTTCCACAATAGTGCTTGACATTGGTGCCCTTTATATTTTTTTATTTGTATATTTATTATTGATTTTCTACCATACTGTAATGACTGATGTCTTTTATCTCAGAGGAAGCTGGCATACTGACGTTCATGTTTCAAGTGGTACCAACAGAATGGATGGTGACAAAGGATGCTTTTATTTCCTTTCTTCATTCCTAGCACCCTCTCACAGTAGCAATATAAATGTTGAATAGTCTTAGTTCCAGCTAGCAAATTCAAGAACAATTTAAGTCCATTTTCTCTGGGGATCTCTGGAGAAATAAGCATAGCCAAATGCTCTGTGACAGCATCAGCCAAGCAAAGCTGTGGTTATATTTGACACTCCAATATAAGCACTGCTCTTCCTTACCCTGTCTGAATTGCATTCTTCGTGTGAGTTACATATGCCTGAGTAAAGCAGGTTAACCACGAGGTGCAGTGAGGCACTGCAGGAATAATGCTGTACCCGTGTACACGGAGGCTGCGATGTCTCGGGTAGCTAGGGAGAGCTTAGAGAGCATCATGTATCACACGCACTCTGATTTCACTCAGCAAGCACTGAGTACAGCCTCCCCTCCCAAGGACATAGCATTGAAGGGCACAGTTCCTTATATGCTGTCTGCAAGCAAACAAGTCTGCCAGACATTGTCTGCATAAAAGAGAGTATTAGAATACAGATATGATCAAAACATGTTATGTGTGTGTGAATAATCACAAGCTCACTCTGTAATTAACATGTACTACTTAAACTTTTAGAAAGTTGATACAGACTGGTGATAAGTTGATAAGTGTGGTGGGCTTAGGAAGGCAAGTACAGGCTGTGGTCCTGTTTTTTCAAAAGAGACTTAACATTTTTTCTTCTCTTAATAGTGCTACCGTAAACAACCTTCAGGGAAAAGTAGATGCGTTAGAAAAATCCAACACTAAATTGACAGAGGAAGTAAGTGTTTTGGAAATTATTTGATCTATAAAATTTAATAGTTTACATTAATGAGACCAATCACTCCTATTACCTTGGACATGAAGGGTTTGACTTTTCAGATAAGAACTGCTATAGAAAAGAACTGCTTGTCCTGGCTGTGCAGTCAGGACCTGATTTTCCCAGTTGGACTATATAGCTGTGCTACCCAGGCAATTATGTGACCAGTCTGACTGAAGGAGCCTGGAGTATTTAACATTCAGCATGATACTCAGGATTCAGTAAACATTTAGGCCACTGTCGATGTGGAACAACTGGACAAAGACACCCTACCACCTCCTCTTTAGACAGAGATTTCTCTGAAACACTGCTCTGTGTTCCAAGCTGGCCAGCTCCTGACCCCTACATGACCCCTATTTGCTCTTGAATATGCCTAACATAAGCAGCACTGGCCAGGACCTCAATGGCCATGCTTCTGAGATGTGCTACTTACTGTCATGTGCTCCTGACTCACTTGGTCACTTGACCTCTGAGAAAGCCCAGTTCCCCCACCAGCAAATGAGGGTGCTCAGACTTCTTCTTTCAACTCCACAATTACTCTGGAGATTAGGAAAGAATATAAATGTGAAAGCTGTCAGGAAAGTCCTCAGAATAAGAAGAGAAACTCGTGTTTGACATCTGGTTAGTAGGCCAAATCTGTAGCTTACCCTGTGTTTGATAAAAGCAGATGTTCTCATCAAGATCTTAGGTACAGTGATGCAAAGCCCATTTGCTGTTTCTAATTGCCCTGTTATGTATAGTGAGATAAACTTGCTTTAAATAAGTTCAGTGCACTAATCGGGAACATGCTAATTAGTTTTTCTTGAGAAGATAGATAGATAGATAGATAGATAGATAGATAGATAGATAATGTATTGGTTTGCATCTTTTTTTGAAACAAGGTCTTGTTTAGCCCACTCTGTCCTTAAACTCCTCCTGCCTTAGCATTCTAAGTGCTGGAATTACCTATAAAAGGTCTTTTGGAGGATTCATAACATGACTCTCATGACAGGAAGTAATACCTTATAAATCCTTGTTTAGGCAATGTGTTACTGTCTTCTATTCATTTGTTTTTTGAGACAGGACCTCACTCCAAACATTTTAGAAGCATTCTTCCTAAATGTACTTAGAAGGTAGCCTTGGAGATGCTTTTGAAATAAACATTCTTAGCGTTGAGGCATAGGAGGAAGGTCGCAGAGCAGGCAAGGTGCCTGAGTGAGTGATGTGCTTGTGTATGACGTGCTTGCTGTGTGAGAATGAGGACCTGAGTTTGGATGCTCAGAACCTGGTAAAGGTGGGCATGGTGGCCTGTGCTTGTGGCCTAGCCCTCAGAGTTAGACACAGGCAAATCCTGGGGCCTCACTGGTCACCATTCTAAGCCAAAATATGACCTTCAGGTTCAATGAGAGACCTTGTCTCAAAAAGTAAGGGAAAAAGACCTAAAGGAAGACCCCCAGTATGAACCTTTGGCCTGTGCACATATGTACACAAGACACACAAAACACTGGCACACATTCAGATATATGCAGCCATGTACACATGTAAAAGAGTGTGTTCACGTTTAAAGAAACAGTATCAGGTAGTTTTTATTTTTATTTTACCTACTTGAAAGATATTTCTCCTATGTTCCTCGTTATTTTTTCTGAGACAGAATCCCATTTTGTAGCTGAAGCTAAAGAGAACTTAGTAGCCCCATCCTTCAGGATGCTGAAGTTACAGGTGTGCACCACATATCTGGATAATAGTGGATGATAGATAGCTTCCTACAGGTACAGAGTCCTAAGAAGATTCTAGCCTGAAAATAATGTCTTAACAGATCATAAATTTTTCTATTTAATAAAAGAATAAAAGTTTTATTTTTTTATTTTGGTCAACAGCTTGCCGTTGCCAACAACAGAATTATTACCTTACAAGAAGAAATGGAACGAGTTAAAGAAGAAAGCTCCTATCTACTGGAATCCAATCGGAAGGTAAATCCTTAGCGGATTCTAAGACGTTTGGTGAGAGGAAGGACTCTGTGAGCCTCGGGGAGGATTCTGTGGTGTGGTCCTGGACACTGTTGAGTACCAAGCTTGCTCTTTACTGTGTGTAGCTGAGAACAGGGAACAGCTCACAGAGGTTCTTGCCCTTTGCCCTTTGCCCTTTCGCTCTTTGCTCTGTGATAGCTCCTAGGCACCACTGCTGCTTACGTTTGTTTAGAGACCAGGAAAGACTAATTCAAGTTCTTGTTTGTGTGTGCTAATGGTTTGTGCTGTGGTCAGTGGTTAAAACCTTAGTAATGGAACTGGAGAGGGCTGTGTGAATAAGAAAGTTGTTGCTCTTCCAGAGGACCTAAGTTCAGTTCTCAGCTCCCACATGGCAGCTCACAGCTGTCCTCAACCACAGTCCCGTTCTAGGGGATCAAGTTTCCTTTTCTGCCCTTTGGGGGCATGAAACGCACCAAGTACACACAGACATGCAGGCAAACTATATGCATGTTTTTACCTGTGATAATAAATACACCATTATTTTTATACTGCTACTCCTTAAAAGTGAATAACCTCACTATCTGTTATGAGTGGGAAAGAGCTAGCATGCAGATGAATTTTCTAAATACCTTCAAGGACCAAGCTTGTTTGTTGGTTGGTTGGCTAGTTTGTTTTTGTTTCATTTTTTTTTTTCAAGGATTTCTCTGTGTAGCCCTTCCTGTCCTGGAACTCCCAATGTAGACCAGGCTGGCCTTAAATTGAGAGTTCTGCCTTGCTCTGCCTCCCCAAGGCTGGGATTAAAGGTGCCACCACCACTGCCAAGCCCAGGACCAAGCTTTTCTACAGTGTAGTTTTGCAAACCTATCTTATATTGCGGAGTTCCATCTTACTTTATTTTTGATGTTATTCTTGGAGACAGATGCTCACTGTGTGTGTGACCCAGACTGACCTCAAGCTCTTGCCCTGCCTCTAGCGTACCGGGTGTATATGTGAGCATGGTCAGCCTTGGGAAGCACAAGGTAATGAATGCCCTTAGGTCTTCTATCAGCCGTAGTGTAGTATCGCTTGCTTGTTCCGTGATTTCACTAGCGTCTTTCCTTGCTACTGCTAATGTTCTTAAAGAGGCATAATGGGATAAAAGCAATTTCCTATGGGTCATATTAGTATTTGACTTTAATTATGAACATCACCAAACAGCTAAATACTCAGAAAATTTTCTTTTGTGGTGCATTTCCTTTAACTATGATCTCTGAACAGCCCAAGATAGTGCATTTGAGCTTTCTGGACAAAGAATATAGTACCAGTCAAACCTCTGATCCAACTCATGTTTTGCAGTGAATACTGTATCAGAGTTTATGTTTTGTTTTGATGTCATTTTGTTTTGTTTGTTTGACCCATGGTCTCATGTAACCCAGGCTGGTCTTGAACTTGGTATATGAGCAAGGATGGCTTTGAACTCCTAATCCTCCTGCTTCCACTTCCCAAATACCAGGATTAAAGATATGAGCCACTGTTTCCTGGTTTATGAGATGCCAGAGATTGAATGTAGGGTTCATGCAGGCTGAGCTGCACTCAGCCACCCGCACTGAACTCATTCCCTTGTTTCCTTTGTTTCTGTGTGTGTGTGTTAGTCTGTAACCCAGGCTAGCTTCAGACTCACTACAGTCTTTTGCCTCAGCCTCAAGTGCTAAGACTACAGGCATAAGCTACCACACACAGACAGGATAGTATTTTCCAAGACTGATTTGGGGAACTCCACTGCTTATTTTGTTAACTCATTTTAGGGTCTGTTTGTTTGTTTGTTTTGGGGGTTTTGTTTTTTGGGTTTTTTGGGGGTTTTGTTTGTTTGTTTGTTTGTTTGTTTTGGTTCTTTTGATTTTTTCGAGACAGGGTTTCTCTGTGTAGTCCCGGCTGTCCTGGAACTCACTCTGTAGACCACACTGGCCTCGAAATCCACCTGCCTCTGCCTCCCAAGTACTAGGATTAAAGGCGTGCGCCACCACCGCCCGGCTCATCTTAGGGTCTTAACTAAGGATTTTGGAACCCCCCAATTCAACATAATCTTTAAATATACTCAACTTTAGTTTCTTAGTTATATCTGCTAATTTGGTATAGAGTTGTAAGTCTCTTATCTTTTCAAGGGTCCTAAGCAAGACAGAACTGCAGAAGGGCAAGCACTGAGCGAAGCCAGAAAGCATCTAAAGGAGGAGACACAATTACGACTGGTAAATCCCCTAAGTTCGTTCTAGTAGCTAGGCCACATGAGAAGGTTGGGCTCTCGGAGCCTTCATCTGAGAGAGCAAGACTCAGACTCTCAGTCATGCTTTACAAATCCCATCAAGCTATCTCTTGCCCTGCCCACACACAACTTTTTTTTTTTTTGAGATAGTTTCTCGTTGATGTGTGGCTCTAACTGGCCTTCCTGTTCCTCTACAGTGCTAGGATTAAGGTGCACCACCATGCCTAGCTCTTTTTAACCCCTATTCCCTGTGATGCTTTCTGAATTTGTGTTCTGGATACTCTGAAAAGCAATTCTGTCAATCCACATCCTTTCACTGTCAGTGTGGAATGTAGGAACACTGAGTGTATAGAATGTAGTTTGTGTATGTGTGACGAGGTCTTGCTGTGACGCCCACGATGGCCTCAGACTAGTGATCCTCCTGTCTATAATCTCGGGGACCACAGGAATGTGCCAAGGTATTATGCTCTGACTTTTTTATTTATTTGTTTTTATTTTATGTGCATTGGTGTTTTAGGGTGTCAGAGTCACTGGAACTGGAGTTGCAGATGGTTGTGAGCTGCCATGTGGGTACTGGGAATTGAACTCAGGACCCATGGAAGAGCAGCCAGTGCTCTTAACTCCTTACTCCTACCTCACAATTCACCCCTGCACACAATCTGTCCTTTACCTTTGCCCTTGCTGGTCAGAGAATAGCACTTTTTTTTTTTTGGTTCTTTTTCGAGAAGGGGTTTCTCAGTGCAACCTCAAAACTCACAGATCTGCCTGCCTCTGCCTCCCGAGTGCTGAGATTAAAGGCTTGCCCCACCACTGCCTAGATAATTATACTTTTTTAAAGATTTAAGGATTTATTTATTTACTTTATATATGAATACTCTGTCTTCAGACACACCAGAAGAGGACATCAGATCTCATTACAGATGGCTGTGGTTGTGTGCCACCATGTGGTTACTAGGAATTGAACTCAGTACCTCTGGAAGAGCAGCCAGTGCTCTTAACCACTGAGCCATCTCTCCAGCCCTGAGAATTATACTTTTTTGTTTTGTTTTGTTTTTGTTTTTCGAGACAGGGTTTCTCTGTATAGCCCGGGGTGTCCTGGAACTCACTCTGTAGACCAGGCTGGCCTCGAACTCAGAAATCCGCCTGCCTCTACCTCCCAAGTCCTGGGATTAAAGGCGTGCGCCACCGCCGCCCAGCTGAGAATTATACTTTTAATTTTAGCTTTTATATCTGAATTTATGCTTCATCTTAGACATAAATGGAAAAAGTATCCAGTACTGGACTTAAGATTATTTAAGAAATTAAAATATATATGTATGTATAAATATGTGTGTATGTAACTCATAAATATAGTTATAATTATTTCTAAGAAGGAATAGTATTCCTATAATAGATTATTAGTATTAGTATATTAGTAATCTTAGTGCTTACATATTAGTTCTGAAAGTCAGATAATATGTAAAACCCCAGAACTCTACGAGAAGCTTTTCCGTATCTCTTAAGAATGTGGAAGCTGAAAACGAGGGGTGGCTTTATTTGTACTAAGAAGTTACTTCAAGTTAAGAGTACTCTTAGGTTGTCTGAAAATTCAACCTTCTTAATGTGCTTAAAATAATAAATATTTACTGTCTGTATGTTTAAAAATTAGGTACTAAAATGTTTTTCGTAAGAAGTATCACAGGAATAATGTCACATGAGGTAGCATGGTTGCTCTTTATCATAACTACTTAGGGGAACACAGGACACAAGACTCGAAAGTTGTCATATGGAGTATCACACTTTAAGAGATGGGAAACTGAGGTCTGCCTTGGGCACAGTCTGGATGCAGAAGAACTCTGGACTGTGTGTCTGTCTGCTCAGTAATGCTGCTGTGATCATGGTAGAAACCAAGAGTTTCAGATTCGGTGATACAACTCCACTCTGCCATATCAACCATTCCCGGTAACTGAACTGTTACTCCAGGGACCAGAGTGTCTCCGCTCTATCAAAACCACCAAGCAAATGGTCCTCTTCTTAATCCTAATTGTTAATATTAATGCTTCTTAAATACCCTTGTGTCTTCTGCCAAAATAGTCAGCACAAAGGGTTCTCTCTGCCCTTTCTTGTCAAGTGTACGGCATTTACTTAATTGAGAAAGGAGTCAAGCCCTGCCTTTGTCTTTGGGGCAGGATGTTGAGAAGGAGCTGGAGCTGCAGATCAGCATGCGGCAGGAGATGGAGCTGGCTATGAAGATGCTGGAGAAGGACGTCTGCGAGAAGCAGGATGCCCTGGTGTCTCTGCGGCAGCAGCTGGATGACCTCCGGGCTCTTAAGCATGAGCTCGCCTTTAAGCTGCAGGTAGGTGAAAGACAAGGAGTGGGCTCCCTGGCTCTGGGAACTCCTGGTGCTGCCCACAGGGTGCTTCTTCTGTAGACTCTTCACAGACCAGGAGAGAGTCATGGCTCCTTAGGAAGCCAGCTGCCCACGAACTAATACTCAGACTGTCCTACAGTTCTCTGCTGCTGTGCTTGGAAACCATAGGCACCTTTCACATAATAAAAAGGGAATTAGATAGTTTTTTCTTTTTTCTTTTAAGCATCCCTGCTGCCTATTTTTATGTCTCCTTGACACAAGCTAGCATCATTCTGGAAAGGGAACCTCAATTGAGAAAATACCCTCACTAGATTGACCTGTGGGCAAACCTGTGGTACATTTTCTTGATGAATGACTGACAAGGGCCCAACTTACTGTGAATGGTACCATCTGAGCTGTAAGAAAGCAGTCTGAGCAAGCCAGGAGGAACAGCCTTCCTCCATGGCTCTGCTTCAATCCCTGCCTCCAGGTTCCTGCTCTGACTTCTCTCTGTGACGTACTGGGAAGGAGAAATAAACCCCTTTCTCCCCAAGTTGCTCTGGGCCATGATGTCTTATCACAGCAGTTGAGACTTTAACTAAGACAGCCTCAAGATGCTGGCTTCTCTTTTTTTTTTAAGATTTATTTTATTTTTATGTCTGTGTGCCGGTCTGAGACCAGGTGTCCACAGAGGGTCAGAGGTGTTAGACCCCTTAGACCTGGAAGTATAGGGGTTTATGCTAACTGTGTGCTGGGAATCGACTTCAGGTCCTCTGCAAGCTTAGTGTGTGCCCTTACCCACTGAGTCATATCTCCAGCTCAAAATAAGCGTTTTTTCTTATTTAAAAATATTTATTTTTATTTTCTGTATATAAAGAAGATGTATTATTTTATAGATTAATAATACGTATTTAAATCTAGGTTCTACATAAGAGGACATATGATACTTGTTTTTTTATTCCTTCCCATTATCCTCTTTCATCTTGTCCCCACACCCCCTACCTTCCTCTCCTAACCTAATTCTCTTTCTACTTTTATATTATATTTTTCTTTCATATAATATTTTAATATATTTTTAGTTTGTGTAATATGATTCTTTGCATCCTATAACTTATACTCTGCAGTTTAGTGTGTCAGCTGAATTGTAAATTGCATTAGATCATGATAAATTCATGAGCCTTCTGATACCATCACAAGCTTCATATAACAATATTTATTTTAGCAAAAATATTTCTTGGCTTTCTTTTTTTCACTTGGAAATTAACTGATACAGAAATGTAGAGAGTGCTTCCATTTATTTCTTGTTTACCATTATGATAAAAAAATCTGTAGTATAAATCTTCATAATTCTTTTTTAACAGAGTTCAGACCTAGGAGTGAAACAGAAAAGTGAATTAAACAGTCGCTTGGAAGAAAAGACCAATCAGATGGCTGCCACTATTAAACAGCTGGAGCAGAGGTAAAAGTGCTGTTTCTCTAACGACTCTTTCAGTACTGGAAGTGTTGAGAATGTGTTCAGCAAATGAACAGGAAATTTACCCAACCTAAGTCGGATATGTGGGTTAAGTATTATCTGTGAGAGAAGGAGAGGGATGGGGAGGAAGAGGAAGAGGGAGAGAATGTGTGTGTGTGTAACAGTAGAAAAAGAGGCCCTGAGTAAGGGGGACACAGGAAAGGCTGGAGGGAAGAGAAAGAAGGCAAGAAACTATGTAGTTATATTTTGATTAGCTTTTTAAGTTTAAAAAAATGGTCTTTTTATAGTGTTTCAGGGTAGACTTGGTTAAAGAGTGAGACCCTCTCTAAATACTGTTTGTGATTATATAGTTTGTTTGTCACTAAAGTCTCTAAATATTTTTATACTAGGTGAGGTAGGGATTCTGAAAGGCATTGATCATGCCTTTGTCTCTCATCTGTAACTGTTTCTCTCTTCTCTCATCTCCCTTCTGTCTCTTTCTTGAATAGTTGCATGACTTCCACTAACACCTCCAGTGTGTCTCTCCTCTGATTTCCTCTCACAGAGTCTGGAGGTTCCATCTTCTGCTAGATCCTACTCAGCTGTACTTTGTAACTCCCCCCAAAGTATGTCTTCTTCTTGAGACTTCCCAGGTCACAATGCAATGTAGTCACATGACAGAGTCACATGACACTTCCACTTCTAACAGATGCTCATCACCCTTCATGCACCTTGACACCCTACACTCGTTCCTTCCCTCGATCTTCTGATTGTTCTACCAATCATGAACACTCCTCCCCACTCCCTTCTTGGAATACATTTTTACACGATGACTCAGATGGCACTGCCTGGCATTGGCTTCCTCTCGTGCCTCTTTCCAGCTAGAAATAATGTTATATATGCACCTCTGCCCACCCTGCCCTGGCATTTCTCACTGTGCAACTCACCTTTAAGTCTATAGAAATGCCTTATCATCTGACAGTAAGCTCCTTCTAGTTACTGAACTAAGCCTTTCCATTCTGTCACAGTTCTGACATAGTGTTCATGATATGAATGAATGAACAAATGAATGAATGAATGAGATGGGTGGCTTGCTTCAGATGATTCTTCACCAGGGAGGGAGTATCCTGAACAGAACATATTCATGTTAATACTAAAGTTAATTACAGACCTATAAACGCAGTTGAAACCTTTGGAGTGATTGATACTGCTCTGACTGATAAAAAAAGAATCCATTTATATAGCAGATTATTCAGTTGGTTTTTCATAAGCACTGATATGTTTATAATTTAATAACTGATGTCCATGTTCATAAATTGTGCTCTTAAAATGTTTGAAACTGCTCCTCAGTGAGTTTGAACTTGGCATTAAGGCCAGCAGAACTAAAATAATGACGTGTCTGACTTCTCTTCTTACTATCTTTGTTTCCTGTTTATCCATTTTGTCATTACCCTTCCAACTCATTTTTATCTTTATTTTTATCTTATTAAGTGAAAAAGATTTGGTGAAACAGGCAAAGACCTTAAACAGTGCAGCAAATAAACTGATCCCAAAACATCATTAGACATTTTGCAGTTGGTCACCTCACGAGTCCGATGTTACAGACTAATTATAAAAGGAAGAAACCTGAAATTCCTGCATTTAAGCTCTGATTCCATATAAAATATCACCAAAAGTTGACCTTGAATTTGTTGGACTTAAAAAAAACCAAACTAGGTGGCTATATAGGTTGGGTTTTGTTGCTGTGGTTGCTGCTGTTATTTCCCTCCTGCCCCCTGCCCCCGAGTTAGACATTTTGGTATGGATTCCTCATTAAATACCAAATAAACTTTGAGAAACATTTCTGAGTTGAACAATAAATCAAAAGACCACTTTTAGGAAGCCTGGGGAACGGAAGCACTGTATTTGTGTGCTTGTTAGGGATCGTACTCCATAGGTGTGCCTCCGTCGGCACCAGTGACCCTGTTCTCTGTAGTGTAATGGCGTACAGGTGTCACCTCGTGACCCAGAACTCTTCTAAAGTAGCTCTGTCTCTTAGGCCATGACCCCTTTTCTCTTGCCTTCTGTAGGTTTGTTTAATCAATCCCCAGCCCAAGATAAGTATTTAGTATTTCATTACAGTTCTGTTCTCAGTAACCAAGATTGCTTGCGATTTATTTTTGCCTTAGTGATGTTGGACAAGAAGAAAAACAGCATCCTTACATTTCTTTAAAGTACTTAGAAACAAAGTAGTAATTAGGTAGCTCTTAACATCACAGCGTGGAAGCTTGAGAGACCCCTCTTCACACTGGCATCTTCTACCTCTGCCCTTCTCTGTTATCCTACTTACTACTTAGGTAGCTCAGAGAGAACATTAATACAAATACGATGTTCACATCTGCCCTGCATTTCCTGCTGGAATTCATGAGGCCACATGTAGTCTTGAGTGGCAACTTCCTGCCTGTTGTCTTCACCTGGAATGCTTGCCCAAGAGCTTCGGTCACTTTCTCTGTAATGAGAATTTTCTAAAGGTTCTGGGAAACTAATCTAGTTACTTAAAAACAAAAACCAAATGAGAAATAAATAATATACTAGCATTATAGTTTAATATCAAAATAAAGATCCTCAATAGCCATGAGCAATACTGGCAGGGCCTTTTCTAAGTGACCACAGATCTAACCCTTTCTAGGCTCTACATTGTAAATAATTCTATAAATACTTTGATTTAAAAAAAAACAACTATTTTTGATTTGGGGAGACAGGCTTTTATATACACGAGCCTTTACTCCATCCAGCACAATGCCCAGGGTTTTGTTCCATGTTTTCTGTCTCTCCTTCTGGCATGCTATGTAGCATAGCCTGTGCTAAGAGAGAGGCAAAGATAATCCCTTTGCTTCCAGCTCTTCAAAATCTTTACCTTCTTGGCAAACCAGAATTAAGAGTAAACAGAGTTCATGTGTTTCTATAGGTCCTCAAAAGGCCTGTGTTGGAGCCAACTTCCTGGAGGCTCCTGTGACCCTGAACTCTTTATTTCTTACAATGTTGCACCTGTATAAATAAAGCGCCTACTGCATTCTGTGGTTCATCAGCCTTTAACGGTGATGAATCAGTCGCCTTTTACTTGAGCATCTAAAAAGAATAATCAAATCAATAAAAGTTAGACTAAACATAGCATCCCTCTAAATTCTATTCTAGAAAGCCTCAAATATTTCACCTTCTAAAACATGATTCTTTATAGGTGCAAAGTTATAAGACATTTAGAAGAAAGCATCCATTAGAACTTCCAGAGAACATGGTCAGGAGTCTTAGGAACCCCAAGCTGAGCTGTCTGCTTGGTCACCTGGTAGGAAAGGAAAGAGTCAGCCAGGTGCTCAGAGTGTGTCATTGCGGAAGGTGGAGCCTGGGGATGACTGTAATACTCCCCTGTGAGAGGGAGCTGCTCCGCGTGCGCTCCAGCCGTATGTAGAAGACAGAGTGTGAGGAAAGAGAGACAGGGGTTCCGACATCAGTTACTCTGTACTCGAGGGCGGCTCTGGGTATGGATTTCCAAAAGTGATGTCTTGTTGTTGATCCTCTGATGGCTGTAAACTGTAGAACTAGAATAAAAACAATAGAAAACCAGCTTCTCCTCTGCCTGCTTCACCTTCATCTTGTTTTTCTTTAGAATTTGTTTCTTCTCCATCTTTCCCCTTCATAATTTCTTCCTGTGTCCTGCATTTTTTCCCCTCTGTCTCACCATACCTTCCTCCTTGGGTTGTTTTATTTTGTGTTTGTGAACTTAGTCTTCCTCCCCACCATGGCTTTTGTTTTTTATCACAAGTTCATGTGGCTCACATCCAGATTGCGCCAGGCTGAGCGAGGCCGCCAGTCTGCTGAGCTGGACAACCGGCTCTTCAAACAGGACTTCGGAGACAAGATCAACAGTCTGCAGCTGGAAGTGGAGGCACTCACCAGGCAGCGGTGAGCAGGGGCAGCTTGGCCAGCCGTGTGCTGTGGTGGTACTGCAGACGTAAATGGCAAGGGGGGAGTCAGGCCTTGAGCCATCTTGGCTTGGTCTTCCAGTGTCCCTTATGCACAGTAGGAACTCAGAAAGCTTCACAGATCTGAACAGTTCCAAAATCCACTCAGCATCCCATGATTCATTAGGAACTGACCGCTGGACCTGGTGATACAGGCTTAAAATGTCAGCTGAGACAGGAGGAGCCCAAAGCCTCTTGTCTTCAAAAACTGAATTAAAAAGAGAATTAGAGACCAACTTCCCAAATACGTAGTAGCTAATGTCTGATGCAATGTTAATGGTAATGGCTAATGTCTTCTACATTCCGACAGCGGGTGTGGACTTTTCAGAACACTTCACACAGTCATGTTCCTAACGTCTTAACATCAGTCCTGCTAATAGGTTATGTCATTGCCCCTACTTTCAGGTAGAATGACAGCTTAGCAGGGTTCAGTGTGTCTCAGTTCACACTAGTAAGCTAGTAAATGGCTACACTATCCCTTTAAAAACCTCTTTCTCTTCCTAAACCCTAAGTGCTCTCTTGGGCCATCTCTCAAGTCATGGCCGACTGCAAGTCAAGTATGGCTGTGCACCTCGAAGCTGCCAGGACCCCAGTGGGCTTGGGCATGAGCTGTGTGGAACTGCATACATGACTATGGAGAGCGGCCAAATAATAGGAGAGATGTAATGTCTCCCCTTTCCTGTGATGTCTTACTAAAAACTCAGAAATGCTCTTCTTCGCTTGTAGTCAGTATGTTTTCACCCAGGAAACTGCAGCTTTTCATTAGGAATTACGTAAAGGAGCTGACCGACTTGACCAGGGAGCTCCTCCCATGCATTCTGAATTGCCAGAGGAGTTAGCGGTTTCACGTGTCACGTATCGTTAGTCTCACTGTGCTCTGCTGTCTCACGGCTCAGCTGTCCGTGTGTTTGTTTCTGGGAACTTTCTCAGGCATTAAAACTCAATTAATTGCTGAACTAAGGTTTGGCATTCTTTAGAGTATATAAATACAGAAATCAAAATTTTCATCCTTTTCCTCTCCCACCAAACCAGGACTCAGCTGGAGTTAGAACTGAAACAAGAAAAGGAGAGGAAGTCACAACCCAGGGGCACCCCAGGGAAGGGGACGCAGAGGCCGGAGCCGCGCATGGTAACGTGTGTTCTCTGCTCACTTGCTTTACTCCACCTACATCTGATGAGCTAGCGTGATGGGTCAGCGGGTCTTTCACAGCCCACATGCTTAGCTGCTGTGGTCTACACTATGCGGACAGCAAAGCGGCTGCTTGGAGTGGAGGAAAACAAAATCCTGAGCTCTCCTCTCAAATGATCTTGCTCAGTTTGGAAAAGTGACTCTTTTCCTTTGATGTTTAGTAAAACTATTCTGTTATCATAATAAACATGTATTTCTTGCAGTCCCAATACATGTATAATATGGTATAACTATCCCTCCTAGGCCGTAGTCCTTCTGACAGGGTCTCCTCGGGTCTTGACTTGGTTCTTGGGGCCTTTCCATGTCATGTGGATTGCAGTATGAATTGAATATATGCAAGAAGGTCCTTTGGGAAAGAGAAGAAACTAGAATTACAGAAGGGACTGTCATGCAGAGTGGTTAAAAAACAGAGTGGAACTTTACACACAGCAGTCTTGATGGTCTCTAGCACCGCAGGGGTGAGCAGCCACAATTCTACAAGATCGTCTGTGGGACCAGCCTCTGGAAATGGTTCAGGGTAAAAAGCACGAGACACTTCTAGTCAGAGGAGCAAGTGCCTTTGTGTGCATTAACACATACGACAGCGTGGGGAATCTTTTGTAATTTCTAGAGAACAAGCTGCTATCTTGCTGCAGTACAAATGAATGATGAACAGAAAGTAGTTACACAGTACACGTTAACGGGTTGAAATGTGCAGACCCCCCCATGCCGCGTGCTCGTCACTACTTAGTTGAATGCATGGAAATCTGAAGGGCGAAAGGAAGTCTGCCTGTCTGGCTTTACTTTCCCAAGCACGCTGTAAGGTTCTCAGTCTTGATGTTGCTATGACTTCTCTTCCCTGATACTTGACTGCTCTAACTATGAACTTGGTAGACTTTTCAAAGTAGGCGAGTGGTAGTTCATATCACAGAAGTTGACCTAAAACCTGCCCAAGCTGCCTTTCCACCCCGGGCCCATTGCTCTTCCACCAAGAAACTCACTTGAGTGCAGGCTGGAGACCTTGGCAGTGGGGCAGCTACCTGAGTGTTCTGAGGATCATACAGCTAGTTGGATAAGCTGTGCTGGGCTTGCAAAGCCAAGACAGAGATACTTCTCCAAAGAACCAAGTTACCTTGAGCCCACTAAAGAGGCCACTCCTTTGGATTTTATTTGAATTTCAGAAAATAAAAAAATGTTCAGGAAATATCTACTTCTAGACTGTATCAAAATGATTTAGTAACTACTTGGTGTAGAGTAGAAGGAAACTGCTTTGAAAGTTAAGTCCTTCCTCTAAAACAGAAAGGGAGGAAAGGGGCGGGAAGAAGAGGCAAAGAAAGCGCCTCTTTCTTCTCAAGCCAGAGACATGGAAGAAGCTTGTGATGTCATCACAGTTTAGAGTCCTGAATAATTAATGATTGAGCTATTTTCTCTTGGCAGGATGGGAAGCACAGAATTCAAGAGGAATATGTGAAACTAAAGCAGCCGCTGGAAGAAGGCCAGAGGTATTTGGAATGCCCGTATGGAATGCTGTTACGCTATTAAGTCATGTCGGAGTGGTGGGAAAGGGAGCTCTGGATAGAGGGACACTGAGTTGTGAAGTAGAAGGCAGTTAAAGGGAAACAACACACATCCCAGCTGGATCATGGGGGAGGGGGCAGTCAGCCTGTCCTTGGATTCTTCTATGATTAACCCCTTAAATGAGCACTTAAGGACATTATATCAGTTGACTGTAATACCTCACACCTATAGTTCCAGCAGGAGGAAATGGAAATGAATCCAGCGCCAACACGGGCTATACTCTGTCAAATTACGTGCATAAATTTCTATTGAATTGGGATCTAAAGAACATGAAGCTTTATAGTTCTTACGTTGGCAAGTGAACATTAGTGATTGTTTCCACTCACCTGTGTGAGATAAATACCCTCATTCCCTTATGTCTTATTTTTTCTTCACCTTAAGAGTCTCAACTTGCCTTCCTTCCTGTTTCCTAACTTTCATCTGATCTGCTCACTGTGAAAAGCACAGGCGCTGGATGAGGTGGCACACGCCTCTAATCGCAGCACTTGGGAGGCAGAGGCAGGTGGAGCTCTGTGAGCTTGAAACCAGCCTGTTCTATAGAGCGTATTCCAGTACAGCCATGGCTATACAGAAAAACCCTGTCTTGGGGGTAGAAAAAAAAAGCATAGGTTTGTTGGGTGGTAGAGCTAGCCTGATCTACAGAGGACAGCCAGGGATACACAAAGAAACCCTGTCTCAAGAAAAAAGAAAAAAGAAAAGCATAGGCTCTGACTTTTTAACAGTAACTTTACCGTGTTAGAGGAAAAACGTTATATAATTCGACTACACAGCAAAGGAGGTCCAACTATATAGCATTCTAGAAAAGTAAAACCAGGAAAGTCACGGTTTGCCGGGAGTGGGCCAAGGGTGAGGAAGTGGATCACAGCGAGTGTTCTGGGCAGATGCCACAGTCCCATGTGCTGCAGCACTGCTGGGCAGTGACACTGCTCTGTGTGCCACAGCCACGTATGCTGCAACACTGCTGGTGCATGGAACTGGAGTAGACTTCTGGGGGCTTCGGTTGGGTTGGTTTTTTTGAGACAGGTTTTCTCTATGTAACCCTGACTATCCTACAACTCACTGTGTAGACCAGGCTGGCCTCAAACTCAGAGATTTGTCTGCCTGGAATTAAAGGCGTGTGCTGCTGCCACTGCCACCTCCACCACTGCCCAGCTTGACTCTTCACTTACCGACTGTGGGTGGTGGAGAGTCAGCAAGCACATCAGTATTATAGATTCCACCGTGGAGTGTGTGCGGACCATTCAGGACATGGGGTACAAGAACATATAGGAAGTCTGGACTTTTCATCAGTTTTGCTGTGAACTTCAAATTGCCCTTAAAAAAAAAAAAATACCTAAGAGTACTTTTAAGGGACAGCACCGTAAAATGGTTTGAGAGAACAGCAGGCTGTCTACTTAGGGCACCTATCCTTCAGGGATCTCGTAGTGTATGGTTGGTCTTTCCAGAGCAAAGCTGCTGGAAACGTAAGCCACACAGCCCAGTGATGACTGTAAGCCAGACCGCACTTAGTCTTTAGTACCCCTTCCTTGCCTCCAAGGTCAGAATGATCCCAAAACTCTTTAATTTTACTCCCAGTGAACATGGCTTAATCTAGGACTAAGTGCTAGTCCATCTAATACAATAGATCTGCAGATGCACCAAGAAAGGAAAGGCTGTAAAATTAACTTTCCAGGGCCTTTCCAGCTAAATCAGACATTTACTCATAGAATCAGGATGTCCATTAAATGTCAGGTTCTGACCTGGGCTCTGCAGCTTAGGACATGGGTTTCACATGCATTCTTTCCTTTCAGGTTTAATTAGCATTACAAAAATGTACTCACCAAGTCCCTCCTTTGCAGCTGAGAAGACTGAGGAGCAGAGGCTGGGTGACTTACAGGTCACCTGTGTCTGCCATGCCTGGTGTGATGGTGGTTGTTTGGTTTTTGAGGCAGGGTCTCTCTACATAGCCATGGCTGTTTGAGCACTTACAGTGCAGAACGAGGTGGGTTCAGCCCATAGAGATCACCTGCTTCTGCCTCTTGTGTGCTGGAATTAAAGGTGTATACCACCACCACTCCTAGCTCCTGGTTTGTATTTTTTTAATTCCTTTATCTCTGTGACATTGTGGTAGCCTCTGGGACCTGTCTCAGCCAGAACTGTGAGCACAGAATACAGGAATGTTAATGGAATATTTAGGGCCTTGGTCACCATAATCTAGTCCTCTCAGCTGAAGATTACATGACCCATAGTAACTGGGCAGCATTTTTACTGAATAGGATTTGGCTTTTTGCTACTCCTCTGAAGAAAGAGTTCAACCTGTTTGAAAAGGATTTTTATATACATCTCATGACAATCTGATTCATTTATTTCCTGGAATAGTTTCTTAAAGCTTCCATTTTAAGAGTATTTGAGGAAAGAAGACAAATACATAGCATATGACAATGAATAGAGTCCCATAATGTCGGAGATAGTAAAGCTTTAAAAATATACGGTTACTGAGCCATTGATGTTTTACATGTTATAAGACAAATGGCGGCTGGGCGGTGGTGGCGCACGCCTTTAATCCCAGCACTTGGGAGGCAGAGGCAGACGGATTTCTGAGTTCGAGGGCAGCCTGGTCTACAGAGTGAGTTCCAGGACAGCCAGGACTACACAGAGAAACCCTGTCGCAAAAAAACAAACAAACAAAAAAAGACAAATGGCATTTCCTAGGGTGTAAAAAGGAAAGATAAAATATAACTCCATATTTATTTGTGAATCACAACTGTAATGTCTATCAAGGATCAGATAAAGTCTAGTAAAAGATCTAACTAAAATGTCTAGAATCTTGGAGGCCAGTTAATACTTATGCTGTTCCCAGCAATGTACAAGGACAGAGGCATTGCTTGTTTAAATGTATCAAGGACATCCAGTAATGTAATACATGCTACCCTTTTTATTTCTCTGTTCTAGGCTGCTAACTCCCCCTGTAGAGGAACAGGTAAGAAAGACTCCTGTTTTAAAATGTCTTGTACCCAATTACAAAGTTAGTGTGCCATGGCTAGCCAGTAAACAAGGTATAGTGGGAGGAAGTCAAAGGGACACAGCCCTCTGTGTAGTATCTTAATAATCTAACATACACTCTTGAGTATTCGGAAACATTTGTTTGATATGTTGAAAAACAAAAATACTATTTTCTGGGTGGTAAAAATAAAAGAGAAAGATGCAAACTGTAACAGATTTGTAAATGGACACCCTCACATGATTGGAGGCTCATGGTGGAGTTCAGAGCACTCGGCTTAGGAGACTGACTGAGCCCACAATGAGTCTCATTTCCCACGAGAGGTCACCTCTGATGAACTGGCACTAATACCATTCACTGCCCTCTCATTTTCCCTTAACTAAAACAGACGGAAAAGGTTTGGGGGTTTTGGGGGTTTTGTCACTTTAAAAGGTTTTTGTTGTTGTTGTTGCTTTATTTTATATGTATGGGTGTGCCCATATGTATGGGTATGCCTGTGTGTCCATGTACCATATGCATGCTTGGTGCCCACAGAGACCAGAAGGTATCAGAATCCCTAGAACTGGGATTATAGACAGTTGTAAACTGCCATGTGGGTGCTGGGAATCAAACCTTGGTCAGTGCACCTAACAGCTGAGCATTTTCTCCAGCCCCTTTTGATCACTTTTGAACTTTTAAAAAAATTTTAACCTAGAGAAACAATTGTAAAACACCTTGAAAATACAATATGGCAACCCCATGAGACAGACATATCTGGGTCACTTCTTCACCTTGTAAGATTTAAAAGGAAGCCAGTGTTTTCATGCTCACTGAGGTAATGGAGGAGGCCAGGAATGCTTGCATTTTCTTGTTATAAAGTTCAGAGTAAGGTAATGGGATAGGTCATTGTTTCTTCCCAGTCAGTGTATAGTCTGATTTTAGAAGCTAGAAGTGTTACAACGTGTTTCTGTTCCATGGGCTCGGGAGGTAACTGGCTTACTGTGTCTTAGGGTCAGCCCTCACTCTCTGAAAAGCCACAGGTGTGTCAGCTGTGCCAGGAAGATGACAACCTTACAGAGGTGAGTGGTCCCTTCACAGAGATGGCCTGCACCTCCAGCTCCATGCCAAGAGTAAACAGGAGTGAGCTGTTTATTATGGTGCCAGGAAGGGGCTAGGAAACACCAAGGGGGTGAGCATTTGTCAGACACTTATTCTTTAAAAGAAATGCAAATAAGTACATACATAACTTGAAACAAATAAGGAAATACTGATTTATAAAGTACAGTAATTGTTGAGCACATAATTTTGTCATTTTGTTTTTACTTTTTATTATAACTGAGAGAGTGGATGGTTCAGGAGGGAGGGATACCCACATGCCATGGTGGTCATTTGGAGGTCAGAGGACAACTATCAGAGTCTTCTCCTCTCCAACCATGGGTTCCAGGCCCTCAGTTTTTCACATTAAGCACTTTTACCTGAAGAGCCATCTCAGTGGACCCTTAGTTTGGTCTTGAGCCCTGGTCTCCTGTGTGGTCCAGATGGCCTGGGACTGGCTGTATAGCTCGAACCAATATCAAACTTGTGCTCTTTCTGTCTGTGCCTCAAGTACTGATGTTGCACCGTGCACCACAGGCCTGGCCTAAGTTTTTGTTTTGTGTTGATGGACTCCAGCCCCTGGTGTACACTAGGCAAACACTTTACACTGAGCCACATCCCAGCCCAATGCCCCAGTGCATCATCACCTTCCATGTGCTGATGAGGATGGGAGTCCTAGTGTTTGGCCCATTCCTTCCCGGCTGGGCTGCTGTATGTTGGGAGAGGGGAGAGGGGAGACAGGAGAGGGGAGAGGGGAGGGGAGGAGCTCTCCCACTAGGCCCCTGTCCATGTCAGAGTAGGTAAAGTGGCAGACTAGATCAGAAAGAACAAATGTCCTTGATGGCTGAGACTGGCACTTGTTAACAGCAGTCTGGGCAAATATGATGCCCAGAGATGCTCAAGGTGTTATGTTCAAAGGAATATTACAAACAAGTACTTGAAGAATTACAAGAAATGTTCCCAAATTCTGGATTACATCATGCTGAATCTTAACAGAATTACAGTATGCTCTAGAAGATTAGCAGAACCATGTAGCAACTGAACATGGTTGAAAATTCATAAATGTTCCAAAACAGAAGAAAGTTGGCAGGAGTTATTCTCTGAAGCCTTTTATGCAGAGCTGCTGGGGGACTCTGTTGCAGGTGCCCTGATGGCACTTCTGTAGCAACACATTGCTTGGTTGCTGGAGGTTCAGAATGTTTATGGAGACTAGCTTCCCTAGAAACAGAGGCAGGAAGCAACACAGAAGTGCTTGTGGAGCACCAGAGAAAAGCATTAAGCTTCTCAGTGCTCTTGGAACTGAGTTGATCTTAAACATATTTTAAGACTCGGCTCCTCCAAACATTGCTAGCTCACTACCTTATTTAGAGTTTCAGTATGGTCAGATATTTGCTGGAATTTAGAATTAACCCGACCCAAAAGTAGGGATCAAAAGTATGACGTGTACTCCAGAGACTGAACTCTCTGTTGTCTTTTGATTCTGGGACACCCATGCTACTTCCTTTCAATCCAATAGCTGGCCTGATGCTCCTGTGTGACCTGTTGAGGGCCACTTGGCACACAGCAGCCATTCCATACTTGATTGTGCATCAAGCAGCTCCTGATTTGACCCTTTCTGTCCTTAGCCTGTCCTTGTGATCCTCTCCTAATCTTACCCTCTTGCAGCACACGTGTAAGAACTGCAGAGGAACCTTCTGTAATGCCTGCACAACAAATGAACTGCCTCTTCCTTCCAGCATCAAGCCTGAGCGAGTGTGCAATCCGTGTCACAAGCAGCTGATAGAGCAGTATTCCACCAGCCCATCCTAAGATTGGAGGCCAAGACCAGGCCAGAGTGTTTATGCTGGGCCTCGCACGCGTCAGGCGCAAGGCACCATGGAACCCAGTCCTTAGAGCCAATCGTAGTTGGTAGGAAAGCAGGTCGGTGTCCGCAGGGAAGGCAGAGCTTCGAGCTGCTGTGACCTTTGCTCATCTTCTCCAATGAGTGTGTAAATAAATAAATGCTGAGCCTTGCCCTTTAACACCTAAACAAGCCCATTTGGGAGAACTTAGAAGGTATCTTTGGGCACTTTCATTTTCATTAAGTGATGAAGCTGGGCTGTAGCTGAGTGGGGAAGCGCTCCCGAGCCAGCTGAGGCCCCTGTCTACCTCAGCACCACTGCCAACACAAAAGCAGCCTTACACAGGCATTCTGAGGGGCAGCCTGAGCCGTAAGGGAGGTAGACTAACAGGCGCTGCTCCAGTACTGCTGACAGTATCCTCTCAGTTCTCAGGACCTACCTCTTTACCAAACTGTGAACCCAACCTCAGGGAAAGGAATCAAGAGTAATATAAATTCTGAATGTATTGATAACAATATTGTAATGCATTATAACTTCAGAACCAGATTTTTTTTGTAGTACCTATAAGAGTTTTCTTTATGTGAACAAGAACATCGGTTGCTTCCCACACCACATGGCTCCAGAAGTAAGTATGTGCACTCTTCAGAATCCCTCCCACAGAGTAAGCCGAGTCACAACGGACAGTAAGACATTCACAGACAGGGTTTGTCTTGTAAGTGGAAGATGAAAGTAAAGCTAAGCCAGGTGCATACAGCGTCACCTCTGATTTGTTAATGCCTGAGGACAGTTAACACAGCACTCACTAAACTGATTATTTGATGACAGATCAGAAGCCTCAGGGAGGGGTCTTGGAAAGGACAATATTCAAACATCTCTTTGTGAAAAACCCTTGCAGAAAAGTGGGGGTACCCTGAATAAAAGATGGAAAGAAATGGTTTACTTGCAATGATTATGTTGTATAGTTGTATATCTGGATTGTCTGATTCCAATTCAGACTTGGGAAAACATGATTCTATTCAGGTTTGGAATTCTGGGGTAAAAATGATGACAAATCCTATCTCCTGAAAAGGGTTAAAACCTGGGAAAGGTATTATTATTTCAGAAGTCTGACCTGCTGGTGAAGCTGAAGTTTAAGAGTTAAAGTTAGGGGAAATAAAATTAGTGATTCTAACCTGTTGTGTTGGTTGTCTTTTCTCTTTGAAAAAAAAAATGTAAAAATGTTTTTACGTGAATGAGTTCTGCCTCTATGCATTTGTGCCTCATGTCCACGCAGTGCCCATGCAGACCAGAGGAGGGCGCGAGCTGCCCTGGAACCAGAGTCGGAGACAGCTGCGAGCAGCCCCTGGATGCTGGGGACCAAACCCCAGTCCAGAGCCAGTGCTCTAAACCTCCGAGCCTCCATCCTTTTCTTTTTTTGCAAAATATTTTTTTAATCCTGTGTTCATACTGGTCTTGGTCACCTATAGGAGCTAGCAGTTTTAGGCACAATATATGAGGGGCAAAATTATCAAAAGTTCTAGTGAATTTGAAGTTAGGTAGCTGCTGCATAGCACAAAGTAGGAGGAAGAGTAAATACTGAGTGTGGTCACTTTGTCTTTGTATGCAGCCCCGAAGGTTTGTGGGTGTAATTTAATACCCCCATCCCAAAAATAAATAGGTAATTATCCCTAGGGAATCTTCCTTAAAAACTGCTTCCTAACGTTTAACAACAGCATCAACCAAGTGAAAGTGAGATTAACTAGAGGCAGGAACTTACCCAGTACAAGCTACAGGATCTGCCACATGAAATTAGAAGATGACATGTGTTCGTAAACTAGAACACATCACCACCAAAACACTGCAGGAGCCAGGGCCAACCTCTAAAGCCTAAGGCAGAGGAATCACAAATTCAGGGCCTGACCTGCATAGGAAGAGCCTTTAAAAAAAAAAAGAATCCATCAAATCCAAGTTTTCTGCAGAAATGAGGGGAAAAAACTTCACTAAAATTACTATTTCAAGGAACTCCCTAGTCAACTCAAAAAAGTATTAATTCAGAGGTCACCTAATTGATTTCAGTGCTTAGAACTACAGTAACCAAGTCAAAATGACGGTGCCATAGAGCATAGACAGCCTAGAAATAAACCTTTAAATACAGGGCCACACAGCTCTGAGAAGGGTGCCCAAGGCACTCATCACAAGTGTTGGGGAAAACTGGGCTCTCGTACCACAGAGGAACGGCAGCTGACCAAAGCCTAAGTGGAAGATCTAAACTCTAGAGGAAGAGCTTCATGATGCTGGATTTAGTGAGGTTCTAGCTATGACACAGATAGACAAGCAACTGAAGAAAATAAAAGCCGGCAGAAAGCCACATGGTTGAGCATGTGGTTGCATGCCTATCATCGCAGCCGTTGAGGTGAAGGCAGACGATCAAGTGCCGGTCCAGGAGAGTGAACAGGCACACCCCAGAACAGAAAATGTCTGAGTGTGCAGGCTAGGTTTATGTCAGTGTGACACATGCTGTAGTCATGTGAGAGGAGGGATTGAGAAAATGCCCCATAAGATTGGTCTGTGGGGCATTTTCTGTGACTGATGCAGGAGGCCCAACCCACTGTGCATGGTGTCACCCCTGGGCTTGTGGTCCTGAGTGCTCTAAGAAAGGTTGAACAAGCCCGTGAGCAGCAATTCTCCACGGCCATGTAGCCAAGATCTTGCTGCTGCTGTAGCTTCTCCTCCACCTCTTCCTTCCTCCTCTCTCCTCCACCCCCCTCCCAGGGTTTTTTCATGTAGCCCTGCCTGGCTCTCTAAAGGGATGTACCACCACCACACCCTGTGATCACAAGCTCTTTGAAGTTTGCCTGAAGGCTTCAAATTATGATTGCTATCCCTATCTATCTGCTGTGTTGGAGATGACCTAATTAACCTTAGGCAGAATTTCTCTCTGGTAACAGTTGTAAGGCTCGCTCTGGAGACCCTGACTCCAACCATATCCCAGAGTTTATGCTGCTCATACTTCATGCCTCGCCACCAAGTGTCTTTGGAATTGCTTCATTAAGATGCCCTGATGATGGGCCTGAGAGATGGGTCAGCGGTTAAGAGAACTGACTGCTCTTCCAGAGGTCCTGAGTTCAATTCCCAGCAGCCCAGATGGTGGCTCACAACCATCTGTAATGAGATCTGAAGCCCTCTTCTGATGTGTCTGAAGACAGTGACAGTATACTCACATAAAATAAATATAAATAAATCTTTTAAAAAATGCCCTGATGAAGATGATACAAAATACAGAAACAAAAGAGAGCAATAGAAGATTTCAGTCATTGTCCGTGGTAGTGATGGCACACACCTGAAATTCTAGCACTCAGAAGCTAAAGGCAGAATGACAACAGCTGAAAACAGCTCAGTAAGATCCTTCACAAAAACAACATTCACCACAAAGATGCATTCTGCTGACTATCACAGAACAAATAAAGCATAAGGTGTTATTAAAGACCAAACTCAGCTGGGCAGTAGTAGTGAACGCCTTTAATCCCAGCACTCGAGGCAGAAGCAGGTAGATCTCTTGAGTTCACAGCTAGCCTGGTCAGCAAGAAAAACCCTGTACTAAAAAACCAAAAAAAGGGGAAAAAAAAGATCAAACTCCAATAAACATAAAAAATAACTAGGTAACCAGAAAACTCAGTACAGTACACAGATGATATTAGACTTGTCTTCAAAGAAAAATCAGCAGATGGAAAAACCTATGGAGACCGTGGCAGCATGCATGTGGCCTGCACAAATCTAAGCCAGATGGGGTCCAAATGCCGACAGTGGAAATAGATATCCCTAACCTGGAAACTCTCCAACTGACCACTGCTTTGTAAGAGAAACATTATCATCCAACAGCCTCACTCTGTTGCCGCACTTAAGGGAGCCCCACCCCCGCCCATGCTCAGCAATAGATGGCCAACACTAAACAAACTCAATGGTGGTTTTGAAGTTTTGTTTTGGCTTTTTGTTTGCTTGCTTTGTAATCTCACCTTTTCTCCCCTTACAGATCTTTTGCTTATAAAGTAGTCTCCAATTTTGCTTTGATAGGTTTTCTATGTTGGTGAATGTGGGTCTCAGTGTCTGTATGTTTCTTGTGCATTTTCATTAGATCTTTTGTGTTTTCTGTTCTGGTGGAGAAATAGAATCTGAGAGAGGGCAAACTGTAATCAGGATGTACTATATGAAAAACATTTTCAATAAACAAAATTAGTAAGTAAACATGTTTGGGAAATGGCCCAGTGAAGTGCATGCCCCACCCCCACCCCAAAACAAGGGGAACCCCAGCAGCCATTTAAAACATCTGGTTGGACTAAGTGTGCCAATACACACCTCTAGTTCTAGCACTAGGAAAACAGCCAGGAGCATCCTGGGAACTTGTCAGCCAGTCTAGCAACCAGGCACTTCTAGGCTCAGTGGGAGAAACTTTCAAAAATGTTGGAAGCCAGGCAGTGGTGGCAAATGCCTTTCATCTCAGCTCTCAGCACTTAGCAGGCAGAGGAAGGTGGATCTCAAGTCTGAGGCCAGCCTGGTCTACAAGAGTCCCAGGACAGCCAGAGCTACATAGAGAAACCCTGTCTCACCAAAAAGAAAAAAAAAAAGTAAGGTTGGTATCAAAAAAGATCTTTGGCCTACAGGCTCTCGAACACACACAAAAGACAAGGAAAATGGGATGACACTTTGGAAAAAGGTATGCCAACATTTACTAAAATTCAAGATAATCAGTCTTATACCTGAGACAGTCTATCTAATCACAAAGGGAATTAAAGTGAAGATGCACCAAGCGGCTTACTCAGTGTATTTGTAGCAACTTTATTCCACCAACTGCCCACGTAACAAGTGAAAGGAAAGCCCAGCACGTCACACTGTGGGACTCTACAGCAGGATCCACACTGAGTGGGCTGCATTAAGTTCTAGAATAAGCAAAAGCAATGTATGAGCCAGCCATCCAGCTGCACCTCAGTGCTTGACTGGTACACACATGCAACAGCTGACGAGGAAAAAGAAATGTGCGCAGCTCCTGACACTGACAGCACCATAACCAAACCCTCCAAAGGTGTCACTAACATGCCCCACCCACCTGAAAATTCTCCAAGAGTATTAATTAACATGAATGCTGGGAAGTTAAAGAATCAATTAGGTACAGCGCACTTGGAGAACAGCTGGAGGTTGGACCAACCTAATAGGATACGGCAAAGTGTTTCTTATAGCAGCCCAGTATGAGAACAGAGCATCCTGGCAGTTCAGATGCCAAGACTGCGTTCAATTTTCATTTGGGAAAAAAAAAATATTTCGGGGCGAAGTAGGCACAATGCCTACCAGAGTGAGGACTGTTTAGTCATGTCTCAAAGGTTTAATTTTACATTTCAGGTAACTGTTTTTTGGAAGTAATCTTTTATAGTTTCCTTTAAAAGAAATGCTTACTGAAACTCACATAAATGAATTGTTATCTAGGGGAGGAAATGGGGAGGAAAAAAAAAAAAGATGCCAACAGGCGGTATAGACCTATAGTTCCAGTTCCTCAGGAATCTGACACAGGAGAATCACTTTAGCTTGGAGATTTGGAGGCACCCTGGGTAACAGAGATTCTATTTCTTGTTTTGTTTGTACCAAGACAGGGTCTCACTGTGTAGCTCAGGCCAGCCATGGACTCATGATTCTGACTCAACCTCCTGAGTACTGTGATTAGACGCATATGCCTCCAAGCCAGGCAGAGACACTAGCTCTTAAAAAATTAAATAGAAAAAATTAGTGGACAAGACTGTATATGACAGCGTTGACCATAAACTGGTAACTGATGGCTACTGGAGTGATTTCCATAGTGAAGGTTTATTTTAAGAGAAAGAAAAATAGGGGAAAGCTACTAAGACACTTCACAGGAAAATGCAAGTTTTTAACTATGGAGGGACACTGTAATGAAACGGTATTTTCTGGACAATACCAGAAGAGACTTCTTGCAGAGACTGCAGCCTGTGGACAAGGCTCTGGGGAAAGCCTTGAGGTCCACTGTGGTCCATGAGAACTTTGAGACGTGTACCACAAGCTCATGTTACCTAGTCACTTACCCCAGAGAAACTTAGGTCTATAAAAATGACACATCTGTAGAAGGTAATTCACTTGAGCAATTTAACAGCAAAACACAAGAAGCAACTTAAACATGATCATCAGTAC